CTTTTCCATGAATTTGCCTATTTTTTCCTCATTTTTGTCTGCTTTTTGCTTCAACTCTTGGATAATTCTACATATTAGAGATTTGAATTCCCTTTCAGTTAGGTCTAGTGCCTTTTATTCTACTGGCAAGTCATCTGGTGTTTTATTTTGGACATCTACTGGAACCATCCTGTCCTGTTTTTTGTAAATGCTTTGATATTGTCTGCTGTCTTCGGGGCATTCAGTGGTTATTTTCATCATTTATTCATTGTAGGTCTGTTTGTTTCGTCCTGCTTTTTTATTTGGTTACGTCTGAGCAGGCAGGCTGTGTGTTCTTTGTTGTTTGCTCGTCTGTGGGTACGTTACTTTTCAGCCCCTTCTCTAGTGGGCAGGATCAATCACTCAGGTATGGTACAACAGGGCAGGTCCTGCTGAAGGGGAGTTACTGGGATGGTTTGTGGCACGTACGAGGTTTGACAGTGCGGACTGGAATCAGTGCAGGACAGGTTCCAGTAGGCCGTTCCTGTGCTGCTTGGGAGTGTGATGTTCATTCAGTACACAGTGCAGGTAGGCAGGAAGGAGGGAGTAGATTGTGATGTGTGGAGCTAAGATGGGTATGGGAAAGAGGAGAGAGAGGAGAGAGGAACAGGAGCCAAAAACAAACAAATAAAGAGTGCTAAGGGAGCTTTCTATTAGAAATGAAGAGATGAGAGACTGATAAATGGGGAAAAACAAAAATGGAAAAAGGAAAGAAAGGGTAAAAAAAAAATGTATAAATTGAGAAAATGGAAATGAAGAAAGATAAAAAGGGAATAAGAGAGAGAAGAAAATGAAACAAACAAACAAACAAACAAACAAACAAAAAAACCAAAACCAAAAAAAGAAAAAAAAAATAAGAAAAAAGAAATGCCCCCAGGGATGTCCCGGTGTGCCTGCGCAGAGTAAGGGACTACCTTCCAAGCTGCACAGTACTGCCTGGCTGGACGGGGCTCCCAAGCTGAGAAAAAAAAGGGAAAACAAACAAACAAATCAAAACAGAACAAATCAGAGCAAACAAACAAACAAAAAAAGAGCCCCGGGGGTCCCACCAGCGTGGCAGCAAGGGCCGGGAAACAGTTTCACAGTCGAGCAGTGTTATGCAGCCTTTCAAGAAGAAGCAAAGATGGCACATGGAGCCAGTATTTGCAAGGAAGGAGGGGGAGGTGGTGAGAGGTAAGGAAGAAATCTAAAGAAGCAGAAAAAAGTAACACCAGCAGCCAACAAAAGGCACTCAGGAAGCTGGCCAGTGCAGTGGGTGGAATCCAAGTGACACCGGGCTGAAGCTGGTGCTTCCCGGCCAAGAGACTGTGGTTGCAGGAAGCAGAGGAGGCTAAGTGGGGGTGAAGAAAGGTGGGGGTAGGAAAGCATATATCGCTTGTTACCGGTTGTTCTGTCTCCTGCCGGAAGCTCTGTGAAGCTGCTTTCTCGTACCCCCTGTTCGCTGATCTCCGATAGGAGTCCAAGATGGTGGATCCGTGCTGCGGTAGCTAATAGGGGACCTCTGCATATATCTCTCCTCGCTCTCTGTTCTTGATCAGTTTCTTATTCTATTCGGTGCTTGGCTGAGTTCTTTATCTCTTCATTTGATGCTTAGCGTTTCAGGATTGACGTGTGACTCAGTTTAACTTAGTTTTTCTGATCTTTGCTACAGAGGGATGCTGTGGTGCTTCTGACTGTAGCGTCCTATTGCCCGGAAGAACCTGTCTTGATTCGTGATGAAATATTTTTCTGTATTAATTAGAAAACTGAGATGAGGATTGGAAGAAAGCATGTTTAGGGAATTTTCTGCTGATGAAAATATACTCAGGATGTTTCTTTTTATTTTGGTGATGATGTTGACAATGCCATCTTCTCATGTACTGCTTTCAGTAGAATTTGTACTTTTGGTAGAGCAATTGAGTAATTCTGCTATATTTTAAATTAAAGTCCATGAGGGTGTTCACTGTACTCTGAATGGGATTCTCTCATTGTAGGTCATTCTCTGTGTGTGTATTGTATTTTATGTCTAAAGATACATGTGTTCTTTAATGTTAGAATAGACATCAGACTAATATTAATTAAGAGACCTGTCGGTCCAACTTTAGGGAGTATCTGTGTTTTTCTCATCTGCAAAGATAACCATATATCTGTCCATTCCACCTTACAGTGTTTTTGATAGGCTTAAGTAAGATACAATATGTGATACTGCTTTTAGAATTTGGAAACATTGCAGAAAGGTAAGGGATTATTATTATTTGTAGTTGCAAATAACTAAAATTATATCTAAGGAATTGCTTTCAAGGCAGAAAAAACAAAGCAGGGAGAATTACGTGGAGAAGTGACTTATTTTTGTTGTGTTTTCAAGCTATATATATGTGTAGATATTACATTATGCCAAAGGATCAACAGGTAAATAACTAATTTCTTATTTCCAGGCTCCTTACTATTTGATTGACCTTGACTTGGATTTATTTTTAAGGAATTGTGTATATCAATGGCAGAATCCTCCAGTGATTCAGACTACTACCGCCATCAAGACCAATTCAGTCGATGGGCTCCAAGGTCAACTCACAGGAGAACTCAAAATCACCCTACAGCGGATGTCACCAAGAAGGTCAACACTATAACAAGTACTTTACAGGTTAGTTTAACAATGGTTGAATTTAATAGATTTTAGATAGTTTGAGCTGAGTAGTTTTATCAGCCAAGTTATTAGTTTTCTATTGCTGCCATGACAAATTACAACAAATCTAGTGGTTCAAAGCAACACAAATTTATTATCTTACAGTTCTGTAGATCAGAAATCCAACACAAGTTTCATTGGGCTAAAATTAAGGTGCTGGCAGGCTGCATTCTTTTCTGGATGCTCTAGGGAAAATTCTATTCCCTTGCCTTTTTCAGCTTCTACAGGCTGCCAGCATTCCTTGTCTTGTGGTCCTCTTCCTCCATCTTTAAACCAGTAATGGTGGGTTGAGTGCTTCTCATATCACATCACTCTAACTTCTTCTGCATCTCTCTTCCAATTTTAAGGACACCCGTGAGTACGTTGCCCACTTAGATAATCTAGGATAGTCCATGATAATATCCTTTAATTTAATCGTATCTGCAAACTCCTTCTACCTTGCAAGGTAACATATTCACAGTTTCCTTAAATAAGGTAACCCGGTATGTTTCCCTCTTAGATGTCAGAAAACTCGGCTAAATTAAATGTTAAACCACAGTAACTCCTTTCAGGTACCTGGGACACTATGTCTTGATACCTGTAATTTTTTTTCCCTTGATTTTATTTTTTAACTTCCTTCTGTGCATCTTTTATTACTATTCTATAACTCAAAGTGAAGTAAGGATAAAATTTAAAAGTTATTATATATGAACAAAGTGCTTACAACAGTTTAAGACAATCAGAAGAATATGTATTTCAGGTTCATTCATGATCCATGCATCTTCTTTGGATTTTCTTGATCTATTTAAATGAACAGCACTAAAGATGTATTGAGAGGTATAGGGAAATTATAATCATTTTGAAAATACTATATTCCACACATTTTATGAACTCGGTGCAGCTCTAGGTTAATTTCAGTAGATTAAAAGTCATATATATATTCCTAAATTTCTCATAGTAGGAAATACCCAACGATGGCTTACATGCTGAAAGAGGTTCAGTTGCTGTAGAATTACTTGATATACAGGGGATCAGATGGCAGACAAACTATTAAAGAGCTCTAATTTCATGATTTTATTGGTGCATTAATTTTCTGTTGTTGCCATAACAAGTTACCACAAACAACATAAATTTGTTATCTTACAGTTCTATGGGTTAGAAGTCTGACACCAGTCTCACTGGGCTGAAATCAAGGCGTTGGCAAGACTGGATTTCTTTCTGGAGACTCTAGAGGGTGATCCATCTCACTGCCTGTTGCAGTTTCTAAAGGCTGTCCACATTCCTTGTTTCGTGACCCTCTTCCTTCATCTTCAAAGCCAGCGGAGGCCCGAAGAGTCCTTGTCACATCACATCACTCTGGCTTCCTCTTTTAAGGACTCCTGTGGCGCAGTGGTTAAGAGCTATGGCTACTAACCAAAAGTTTGGCAGTTTGAATCCACTAGCCGCTCCTTGGAAACCATATGGGAACAGTTCTATTTTGTCCTATAGGATTGCTATGAGTTGAAATTCACTCTACGGCAGTGGGTTTGTGATTACATTGGGTCACTTGGATAAGCCAGGGTAATCTCCCCATTTCATGGTTTTATAGTTCTTAATTTAATGACATATACAAAATCCTTTCTGCCATGTAAGGTAACATATTCACAGGTTCTGGAGATTAAGACATGGACCTTTTTTGGGGCCATTATCCTGCCTACAATGGACTCAGACATATCAATGATCATAAACATGGCACAGGACTGGGCAACATTTCATTCTTTTATACATAAGATTGCCGTGAGTCAGAGTGGATGTGATGGCAACTGACAACAACAACAATGTCCTGCCTGTCACAGTCAGTAAAGATATTTAAAATATATGGTAGGTTGTGGAGAGTGTTTGGGATGAAGTGATATTTTCAAAGAAAGTATTGTGGAAGTGAAACCGGTAGGAAATTACCATAGTTTAGCTCCTAGTGGGGAAGAGACTCCTAGTGTGCCTTTAGAGAAGTTGCTTATGGTTTGGGTAGGCAGTTTATTTATGGATGAGTAATATGGAAATGCCATTTTGATTTAGAGGCTGACCTTTGACAGTGTTTGGACATGTGAATGATGGCAGATTATATCCTTTCCATAGAAGGGCATGAGAGAGGAGGTCAGGGAAAGGGTGGCAGGGTCATAGTGAGAAAAAAAAAAAATTGAAATAGGATGTTTTTTCTTCTTATTAATTCCTTACTTTTGTCTTAGCCAGGATATGCATAGGTTTTGACTTTTAATTGCTTTCCCTTAGTATGCTTAGACAAGAAGAGGCCAGTTTCTGAGGGAGAAGTCATAATTTGCTTAAAAAATCAGAAGGCTTTTTCTGTTTAAACTTATTTAAATAACATAACGATGGATTTTTGGGGTATGCATCCTTGCACTTTTCCATCAGTGAGTCACATTAGTTAAGTATATATTTTTTGGAAAAAAATGCCTCTATTGATCTTTCAGTTTAAATCTAGCATAAACAAAATGTAATCAAGTTTTGATTACAACTAAATTTATTATTGATAGCTACAAGTTAAAGGATGCTTCTTTTTTTTTTTTCTCACTGTTCCAGTCAAATTCTGAAGTGAAGTAATAATTGAAGTAAAATCGATCCTAATAATTTACTTCTCATACACAATTTACTAGATTTACTCTTTCAGGATTCCTTTTCTGTGAAGAGGGTGTACATTTGTTGAGGTGTTATGTGCTTCTGATTTCACGCAAGTAAATAGGAGATGGATTTCAGTTTTTCAGTGGTGTTGATAAGATTTATTTGATATTTATGAAGGACCTTGATATCCAACTCAACTGTGATATAAATCGTACCTTTTATAAACTGTTGACTTAGCTCTTTGACATACTATTAAGGTTGATTAGGAAGAACAATGTTTGGAACAATTAATGAAATCCATTTTCTTTCTTAAGGACACCACTCGGAACCTGCGACAAGTGGACCAGATGCTTGGACACTATCGAGAATATAGTAATGAACAGGCGGGTGCTATAGAAAAAGTGAGAACATTTGTATATGTTTATATTTTCTTTTACCTGCGTTTCTGAAAAAGCAGTTTTTGGGGAGTGCTTTATTATTTTGTAGTTTAAATTTAAGTTAGCTTGTTAGATGGACTGCCAGCTAGCTTAGATTAAACTCTATTGAATTTAAAAGCTTTACAGCAAAAGGGAAAAAATACAGAATACGAATTAAACTGAGACAGGCTAAATTTGGGCCAGAAGTACTTCTCATGAGTAGGTAAGAATTTTAAAGGTAGTTTATTATAAAGTAATAATAGATGTTCATGTTCAAAAAATAGAACTCCTCTCTCACAGCCCCTCTCAGTTCTGCTCCATGGAGAGAACAATTTTGATAGTTTCTTATGTCCTCCAGCATCCACTATGCATGGTTAAGCATGTATAAGCATATGAACCATATAAAAGTAATGTTTTGCAACTTTTCTCATTGAATAATGTATTTCATATTACTTTCTATATGACTTTTTGTAGCTGTTCCTCATTCTTTTGAATAATTATACAATATTCCATAGTATATTTCCACTGTTTTTTCTTTTTGTTGCTATTATAAACAATACAGCAGCTACCATTATTGTACACAAATTTTTGTGTAATTGTGTGGGATTCCTGGAAGTAAAACTGCTGAGTTCAGGGGTATGCATGTTTGAAAATCTGCTACATATTTCAAAATTGCGCTTTAAAGAATGTACCAATTTATATTCACTTCACTGGGAGTATAAGAAGGAAAGATACCCCAGAATTCTGGGACAAAATTAATATTTTTTATTAATGTTTTGCCAATTCTATCTCTATATTTTTTCTTCTCTAAGAATTTGCTAATTCATCTTTTGTAAACTCTTGGAAAACCAATTGAATTTATTCCTTCATGTTTCTGATGATAAGCATATTATACTGTAAAAAGAAGATTAATATTACACTTACGCTATAATCATTATTTCTATACTTATCTGTGCTGTTCCGAATTGTCATATAACTCCCAAGTTGTAATTCATGAGTGATTTTATTCTTACACAGCAAAAGTATAGTAATCACTATTAATTTGCACTGTTCATTTGTAATTGGAAGCTAATTGCTTTAGCACAAGGAAACGTATCTTTTCTGATAAGATTTTCTACTACTTTCATTTAGAAAATAAATTTGGACACTCTTACACTTACAGAATTTTTATTATTTATAATGTTTTTGACAGATGAAGCCACACATAGACTTTGTATATTTGGATAGCTCATGAAATGTTTTAGGTTTAAATACCTTATTAATGATGGGAGTTAATTCTTTGCTTTTTAATTTATTAGTGAAAAGTTAAAACATTTTTGTTAACTAGTAGCAGAGAACAATCCTAGTGTTTCATGTTGAATATTAGATATTTATGCTAGCAAATTTCATTTGAATTAGGCAATTGGGAAATGAAATTGTGTGTTAGAGAAACTTCTGTACAGATGAACATTTAAAACATGAAATGGGTTCTACTGTGGCATTAAGCCTCTGTGGTGGGCTTAGAGTTGAGTAATGCTGAACTCTCTGGGGGAATGTTTTTTTCATGGGAGGCAAATAAACTCAACAGTTATTTTATTTCCACCTGAGTTGTAAGTACATTTAATATAAAGCCACTCATACAAAAAATAAGACAAAGGAGAGCAAGAGTCTTCCCTTTTGCTTCAGACTGTTCCTTAGTCTGGTCTAAAGTCTCCTTCTTAGTTCCCCAAGTTTTCATTCTCTTAAAAGAGTTGGTTCTCAGTGTTCTTTTCCTCCAGCATATAAGGGGGTTATGTGACTCGTTGACTGATATATTACACTCTCTTGACAAAGCAGTGATTTTCACCCTGCCATCTAGAAGCTATCTGGGGAGCACCTGCCATAATCTATAGGAAGACTTGCAAGTCAGAAGGAGTTTTTCTCATGAGAAGTGATTCTGATGCAGCCCTCACTGAAAATTGCTTTCTTAGTATTAAAATCTTTATTGTTATGAAATATGTCATACCTAAAAAATGAGTATATGTAATGTGTCAAGTCTCAAGTGATTTACCTGAATCTTTCTATTTTTACTCTTCAAGTTCTTGAAGTGATTTTAGGAGCATTCATTTGACTTTTTTCTTTCTTTTTTTAAATTTTACTTAATAATAATTCAATGTGTGTTCTGTTTAGAGAGGGACCCTGCAGGATTTTTTTTTTTTTTAAATTATGCTACAATTTCCACAAGTCCTCTTGCCATATAACCTGTTGTTATTATTATTTTTTAAACATCCTTTAACAAGTTAATTCATTTTAAACAGTGCTCCAATGTGAAAAATATTCTTCCTGTTAGAAATACCCTTTGCTTAGTTAAAATTAGCATTTCTCATTTAAAATATGGAGAGATTTCTAAGGAAATGAGATTAATTCTGTTGCCCGAGGGAAAACAGGAACTTTTATTATTGACTTAGATTTCATAAATTAATTTATTGCTAAGCCTCAGTAAATGGATATAAATGATATGTACGCATTTAAATGTTTATTTTCTTGGGGTTTAACTTTGTGAACATAGTTTACCAATGGATGAGGGGTAGATTTTAGAAATATAAATATTCTGCATGATGTTTTCTTCCTGAGATGATCTACTCCCAAAAAGGGAACTGTGGGAATTATTTCTGTTGATCTTTAAGGCCTAAGTGTCACAAACCATGTCGAGTCTCTTCTTTGACTATTTTTTCTTGAAATGTACGAGGTTTCACTGTTTTTCCCTTGAATCTTTACAACCTCCAACCCTAAGGTCTGTGCTTCACTTGTAATATGTGAAGTCCTCTGGGTGAGCAGTGGAGCAATGTTAGAGGATCACTGACGAGGTCCATGGTATTTCATTGATAATTGACACGTATCTTTATATAGTCTCTTTGCAAATTCTCCAAGAGCTTAGTATGCCCCAGGAACTTTTATCTGTATTAACTCATTTAATCCTCTCAGCAGTCCTATAAGGTAGATGCTGTTATTGTCATTTTCAAGATAAGGAAACTGGGACACTAAATGGTTACTAACTTCCCCATGGTTTCACAGGTAGTCAGTGACAGAGCCAAAGATAGAATGTTATCCCCAAAAATAGTGTCAGGGTCATTTACCTCACTGAATCACAGCTGCTCACATTTTTATGATACTATGAATTATATTTGTGGAAATTTGGACTTTGGAATCAAAGTTCTAAAGGTTATATAATTATACATCAATAAATTAGATTTTGAAGTTTATCTTAAAGATTAAAAGACAGAGGCCCACTGTCACGCAAGTAGTTAATATTAAAGCTGGTACAATGTTTAGAATAAGAGTTATATGGAAACAAAATTAGAGAGAAATCTGGTGCTGAGGTAGAATTGGCCTTGGCCATTGGGCCATTGTCATCATTGACAGTTCTAGCTGCTATGTAGGCAATGTTGCAGATTCTGAGAGTTGCCTACACTAGATCAGTTTTTCTCTTCTTCATGTGTAACAACCATTGCTTTTTCACTAGCCTTTTTTGCAGCTGTTCCAGCCAATGAGCCATATTTAGGTGGATTGTGTGATTTAGGGTCTTTGGGCTCCCTGAAATTCATGACCTTAAGGAGGTGTCATCCTGCATTATTTCTCAAGTTTTCAGTTTCTTGGGTGGTCTGAGAAATGTGGGCCAAAGAGGACATGTGAGGAAGATTTTATTTTAAAGTTTACTGTGGAGTTTTGAAATAAATTATACTCCCGTGCTATACAGTGTAATACATTAGCTTAGTTTTTTTAGAATACTTCTAGAACTGTATGTGCCTATCCATGATATAAAAATGGAAGGTCCTCGAGAAAGAATATTCAGCATAAAAAGTTAATACTGTCTGCAGTGGAAATTTGGGCTACAGCCGATGAGACTAAAGTAGTTAATATTGGGTATAAGAGAAAAATACAGTTCTCTTGATTCAAATAGCAGATTAATTAAGTTCATTTTTTAAGGTAAAGACTAACTAAAATATAGTAATATCAAAATAGAGTTTAGAGACTTGCATTAATAGGTCTTTTTTTTTTTTTTCCTAATTAAGCACTCTGATTAAAATTTTCTTTCAGGAATAATAGGATGTTGCCATCTGCTATGTGGACTTTGGAAAAATTTCAATATTAAACTGTAAAGTCCATGTTTCTCCTTCCATTTTAATGGGTTTTGGTTGTCAAATATCCTAAGTGACACCCCGGAAGGATAATGTTAATGGGTTAGAGCCAGACACTGGCCACTTGTAATATCTTAAAACAAAGTATCCACTCCTTTCTCTGTGGCTGAGCTTCACTAATTTTCCTGAAGGTCAGAACTGTTCACCATCTTTTAAATAACTTTAATGTTAAGCAGTAAGAATCTGTTGGTAAGAAAGTTCAATTAAACAATTAAATTCTGCTAAGACCTTCTTTTTGTAAACATATTTCAGATTTTAGGAATTAAGTCCTTAGAGTCTGTTGTTTAAAAATTTATTCTCAAGTCTCTTACAGAACTACTGGACAGGAAAATAATTTTTACAGAATTTTACTTTGAAGTGAATGGAAAAAATGTAGACTTTGGAGTCAGACTTGAAACTGAAACCTGATTTTTCCACTAGAAACCAAATCGTTGACTTTGGGCAAGTTACGTAACTTTTTGAGCCTGAATTTCATCACCTGAAAAATGAACACAGTCATGTCTCCATTATAGCTAACGTTTATCTAAGTGCTCATACTGCTTTAGGTGCTTGCTAACCATTTATTTGCTTGTTATTTCTTTATTTTCTCCAGAAATCGCCACCATAAAGCATTCGCTAAATTCTTAATGTAATACCGGGCACGTTACAGGCACTCAGTGCATGTTATTTTCCTTTCCTTGAATTCATTGGGCCTGACTTCATTTGCTGTGTGTATCACTGTGACTGTAAATAACATAATGTGTTGCAACATTGAAAGTGATTTGTGTGCCTAATTATTTTGACTTCAATGTATCTGCTGAATTAGATAGCGTATGTATTGCTTTTTCT